TTGTAAAAATGATTAAAAAACAACAATCATTCTTTATATTAATTACCTATTAACAACATATGATGTATTGTTTGCATGCAAAGCAATTAAAGTCGATTTTAAAAAAGGATATGTTACAAAGATAAATAAAATTAATATCAAAGAAAAATTATTATAAATCATCGTACGTAGTAATCTTACTTCAGTGTATAACTATTATATGTGTTATATATGTGTTAGTCTGTCTTCTGTCAATTCGAGACTTACCTTGAAACAAAAGAATGAACGAAGATTCACTTGTGAGGTTTGATTTAAATAGAATGTCGCATTATAGGTAATAATTCCCAAGTAATACTGTCAGTTCCCTCAGTTCGCCTTATCAATTTTATCTGCAACGAATCTTATATAACTCGCCGCTAGTTTATTGTGATTAAGCTGTTACACACGTACTGTACTCCAATTTATTCGTTCTCGTGCAATGATATGCGTCAACCGGCGCGTTACCGGTCACGGCGGTCAACATCCCTCAATCGATAAGGATATGTATTATCGGACTTAATTAATCCCTTATTACGATATCGCGCTCAATAAAACATAAAGTACATTTTATAAACAATGAGTACGAATACAAAAAGAACTATTTATGTCGGTAGGAAACAGTTTTTATTCAAGTATATACTGCGTAACCTAACTCTATTCTTTAAAGACATGTTTCTTTGTTATGATTTTTAATTATTAATATTTAGGTGGGCTGGCTGAGGAGGTCGATGAAAAAGTATTACACGCCGCATTTATACCATTCGGTGAAATTGTTGATGTACAAATACCATTAGATTATGAATCGGAGAAGCACAGAGGATTCGCCTTCATCGAGTTCGAAAGCGCAGAAGATGCCGCAGCAGCGATTGATAATATGGTACATGTATAAAACGACTTATTTAATAATTAACGTGACCGTAAAATGCGTATAAATAGAAAACGAATATGAATTCAGCTTATCTAATCATAACAATATTGATCAGCTGAATGACTCTTCATATAACAAACACATTTTATCTTTTGCAAACAGAATGATTCTGAGCTTTTCGGACGAACAATCAGGGTAAATATTGCAAAACCACAGAAAATAAAAGAAGGCTCTTCGAAACCTGTCTGGGCTGATGATGCATGGTTGCAAGAGCATGCAGGCGAGACGCTTAAAAATGATGATAACGCAAAGCTGGGTGATGCTGTGCAGCCTAAGAAAGGCAAACAAAATCCTCAAGTATATTTTGATATTAGTATCGGAAAACAAGAAGTGGGTAGAATTATTATGATGCTAAGAGCTGATATCGTACCAAAGACTGCTGAAAATTTCCGTGCGCTTTGTACGCATGAAAAGGGGTATGGTTACCAAGGAAGCACTTTTCACAGAATTATTCCAGAATTTGTATCCTTTGTTTAACGGGTATAAAATTGGAAACGTTTTCAAATGCTAATAATAATATTATGTAGTAAGTTAAGCATGCTAATGGCTCAAAGGAAATTAAGTTGTTTGCTAATATTAAAAAAACTTAGTCAGCTTTGAAATCTGTCCCAATATTAATAGGAGTTACTCTAAATGTTCCTTATTATAATATAGATGTGTCAAGGAGGTGATTTTACCAATCACAATGGGACAGGAGGAAAGTCAATTTATGGAAACAAATTTGACGATGAAAACTTCGATTTGAAACATACAGGGCCTGGTACATTATCGATGGCCAATTCTGGTCCAAATACTAATGGATCACAATTCTTTCTTTGTACTGCGCGGACAGAATGGTTAGATGCGAAGCACGTAGTGTTTGGTCATGTTCTCAGTGGTTTAGATGTTTTAAAAAAAATGGAGAAATGTGGTACAAAAACAGGCGCTCCCACACAAAAAGTTGTTATAACAGCTTGTGGAGAACNAAATTTATAAAAGACGAAGAATCGGTGAAAAATAATTTATTTATTCTCAAAATATCTGATCATTATGTTGCGTACTTCGATAAATCAAGGTATACGACAAATTAGCCGTAATATGTCTGAGATAAAATGCAAACGACTAGAAGGAAGAACAGCAATTGTCACAGCATCGACAGACGGGTAGGATAAAGTTTAACATGAAAATAATATAAAATAATATAATTATTTGAATAATTTGTGACAGGATTGGTTTTGCGATAGCGAAACGTTTGGCTCAGGAAGGTGCTAAAGTGATGATCAGTAGTCGTAAAGAATCAAACGTAAAAAAAGCAGTAGAACAACTGAAATCCGAAGGTTTAAGTGTCAGTGGTGTCATATGTCATGTTGGTAAAAAAGAGGATAGGGAAGCTCTTCTTAAAAAAGTATATTATTTGAATTGATAAGTATTCTAATCAATCTTTCTCTAGAACTAAGAAACGTTCAAATTATATTATAGACGGAGCAAGAATTTGGTGGTTTGGACATTCTTGTATCGAATGCAGGCATAAATCCAGTTGCAACTACACTTTTCGAAACTCCTGAAGAAGTATGGGATAAAATTTTTGATATCAATGTTAAAAGCTCGTTTCTCTTACTGAAAGAGTCCTTATCACTTTTAAGAAAGAGCAAGTCTCCATCGATAATCATTATATCTTCAGTCGCAGCATATAAACCATTTACTGTAAGTATAGTCAGGATATTTTAATAATTGAGCATGTATCTGTGTATACCAAAGTTAAACTTCAATTGTAGGTACTCAGTGCATATAGCATCAGCAAAACAGCATTGTTAGGGCTGACTCAAGCAGCTGCTGCTACTCTTGCATCTGAAGGGATTCGCGTGAATTGCATAGCGCCTGGTATTATAAAAACCAAATTTTCACAACTGGTATGCATATTTCTACAGCTTCTAATCTAATTGTATATTAATGATGTAAAAATATATCCTGCTTATATATTTTCTACATAGCTTTACGAAGGTGATACTGGAGATGGAACATTATCGATTATACCAATGCAAAAGTTTGGAATTCCAAACGATATAGCAGCAGTTGCTTCATTTTTAGCAAGTGACGATGCTGGCTATGTTACCGGTGAAACGATCCTTGCTACTGGTGGAATGCAATGCAGACTTTAAATATTTCTTGTAAAACTGTATTTTTATTATCTGAATATTCTTTTATTTTATATTAATTTTTGTATATTCAATTATATACACATTGCAATTACGTTGTTAATTTCTATGAAGGATTTAAATAAAAAATTATTATAGAGCTCTGTAGAGCTCAATGGATATAGTACATCAAAATCTGATCAAACCATCAACTTTTTACTAAGATTTTGTATCTCTTTTGAACCGTCCTTTGTCTCACAATTTACACTTCAGATCCCGTTATGATAGAAGTAGACTTCAATCAATGGTGTATGTACATAATTATATCGATTTGCGTGTGTTAGGTGCTAAAGTGATGATCAGTAGTCGTAAAGAATCAAACGTAAAAAAAGCAGTAGAACAACTGAAATCCGAAGGTTTAAGTGTCAGTGGTGTCATATGTCATGTTGGTAAAAAAGAGGATAGGGAAGCTCTTCTTAAAAAAGTATATTATTTGAATTGATAAGTATTCTAATCAATCTTTCTCTAGAACTAAGAAACGTTCAAATTATATTATAGACGGAGCAAGAATTTGGTGGTTTGGACATTCTTGTATCGAATGCAGGCATAAATCCAGTTGCAACTACACTTTTCGAAACTCCTGAAGAAGTATGGGATAAAATTTTTGATATCAATGTTAAAAGCTCGTTTCTCTTACTGAAAGAGTCCTTATCACTTTTAAGAAAGAGCAAGTCTCCATCGATAATCATTATATCTTCAGTCGCAGCATATAAACCATTTACTGTAAGTATAGTCAGGATATTTTAATAATTGAGCATGTATCTGTGTATACCAAAGTTAAACTTCAATTGTAGGTACTCAGTGCATATAGCATCAGCAAAACAGCATTGTTAGGGCTGACTCAAGCAGCTGCTGCTACTCTTGCATCTGAAGGGATTCGCGTGAATTGCATAGCGCCTGGTATTATAAAAACCAAATTTTCACAACTGGTATGCATATTTCTACAGCTTCTAATCTAATTGTATATTAATGATGTAAAAATATATCCTGCTTATATATTTTCTACATAGCTTTACGAAGGTGATACTGGAGATGGAACATTATCGATTATACCAATGCAAAAGTTTGGAATTCCAAACGATATAGCAGCAGTTGCTTCATTTTTAGCAAGTGACGATGCTGGCTATGTTACCGGTGAAACGATCCTTGCTACTGGTGGAATGCAATGCAGACTTTAAATATTTCTTGTAAAACTGTATTTTTATTATCTGAATATTCTTTTATTTTATATTAATTTTTGTATATTCAATTATATACACATTGCAATTACGTTGTTAATTTCTATGAAGGATTTAAATAAAAAATTATTATAGAGCTCTGTAGAGCTCAATGGATATAGTACATCAAAATCTGATCAAACCATCAACTTTTTACTAAGATTTTGTATCTCTTTTGAACCGTCCTTTGTCTCACAATTTACACTTCAGATCCCGTTATGATAGAAGTAGACTTCAATCAATGGTGTATGTACATAATTATATCGATTTGCGTGTGTATATCGATATTAAGGCACATTTATAACAATCACACGAATACATAATTTTATTACAATTGTACGCTTCTATTGTGCTATTGTTATTGCTCTATAGCAATTATTAGTGTAATTAATCGTTTGAAACGATACTTTTATTAGTTACAACTCCAGATTTTTATTACTCATGTGATTAAAGTTTTTAAGACAACAATTGCATCGAGCGATCAATAGTGGTTCGTATCAGTTCGTATAATGGCAGATGAAAACATTGAAAACATGGTGCAGAACGCAGTGCATCCAGAAAATCATCGTGATGGCGATGAAAATGGATGGGAAAACGAAGAACACGACGAAAATTGCAATGTCGCTGGTATGTCGCCGTCTGTATATTTAAAATAAATCGTAAATTAATTCGAGAAGACAGTGAACTTCAATTCTGTCAAATATATCTTAACTTCCCTTTGTTTGCGCATATCAAGTATCTCTTTACAAAGGATAAATAGTACAGATCCATTGTTTTACTAATTATAATGCACTGACAATTACTTTGTAATTCCAGAATTTGAGGCTATAAATGCTCAACTAGATCAGCTCAATTCAGTTTTGGATAACCTCGAACAGAAGACCGACGATATTCGTGCAGAATTGATCCAATTATTACATTCAAATCGAGAGGCGAGACGACAATTCCAGGAATTTCAGAATGCACCTAAACCAAATTCGTAATACTATGTTTTAAGAAGGTACACAATTTAATTGATTCTGAATTCACAATATATTTTAATATGTAAATATCTTTATTCTTTCAGATGATAATGTATTGTATATATGTGTATTTCGAAAAATAAAGCACTGTAATGCTACATTTCTACTAGTTCATGATGTAATGTAGCATTGTGCTAATATTTTAGAACATTCCTAATCTAATGTATAAATTTTTCTTAATGTTTATGTAGAATAATAAACGCAAGTGTAGAAGTGTTGATACCTTCATTCTAATACATCTGACAAAATGAAATTTTACAGGAAAAAAATAACTTATTGTTTCGATTTAGTTTTATATTTTATGCTCTTGTGTGCATATTTTTATTTAAAGAACTTTTATGGTGTTATATACAACTGAAGTATCTGTTCTGTTTTAAATGATTTAAAATCATATACGTGGTATTAGAATGAAGGTATAGCTAATTCAGACGAATATTATATGTAGATATGTATGTAGATTTAGCCTCATCTCACTTTACAATGAATTAGCTGCAAATAATAAAAGATTTTTAAAAAATTCTGAATCAAAACTTACAATCAGCTGTACATTGGGTATACTATTTAATAAATGATTGTATTTAACCAGACCACGTTGCGTATTGTCTTTTAACTCAATTTCAACATAACGCGGAAGTATATTGGTAGCAATTGTTGGCACTAAATACATCGCAGCTAAAACTGCATCGTAAATGATATAATTTGTTAAACCCTTCTCATTGCTTGGTTTTTTGCGACCATATTCGAGATAATTTATAAAGTAAACATACTGATTTTGTATTACACCTAATACATTTTTTCTCCATTCCTAAAAGATATAATTTAAAAGATATAATTAATACTATTACTATATAATTATTATTATTAGTGTATTGTAAAATAATCCTTATTAATCGATCACTATTATTACGCACATGTGAAATACTAGACTTTAAACATGTTTCCCGTGGTAATAACCAAAGTGGCTTTACAGAATTGGTCAAAACAATATATGCACTTTCTGGATCCATGTAAAAATTGAATTCTACTTCGGGTGTGCTGTTTGCCGATGCTGATGTATAAGTGATTGATAAAAATAATTAAATAAAATGAACGAATAGTTAATAAACATAAACGTATAAATATAATACAAATAATACTTGGTAAATTCCCTCCCATAACGAACATCTTTCTCACATTATAGGCGAATTTGGGGTACATTTTTATTGCTAATGCTATATTGGTTAAAGGACCCAGACATAAAATATCGACTTGATTAGGATATTCTGATACAATTCTATTTAATGCAGACACAGCATGTTCCTTTCTCAGTGTTCTTGTGTCCGCACTTGTACATGCAATTTGACGCCCATAATTACCGTCGTATCTATCATTGGTCATTTTTTGAATATTTTCACATACATTACTAAGTAGTGGGACACTCGCGCCCTGGAAGACTGGTATCTACAGAAGATATTTAAAGAAAAGAATGATTACATTCGATATTATGCGGAAAATTCAAACTTACATCTGGCGACCTGTAGAAAGTCAAAGCTCTGAAAACATTTTTTACAACACCCTCTACCAGCATATTTCCGTTGACACAAGTAATTGCCTCGATTTGAATTAGCTTGTGTTTATGAGCATTAAGTAATAGTAGTAATGAATATGCATCATCTATGCCACCGCCACAGTCAATAATAACTTTAGTTTCTGTCATTTTTATGTTTAATTTATATATTATAATATTGTATTATTATTATGTACCACTTGCTCGTACCAGCTCGTACGCGAATCTCTCACTCGATTTGCGATTGTCGGGTGATACCGGTGATACCAGCCTACACGATACCGTCCGTGGGTGCCGTCTACTGGCGAGAGCGAGAGATTACCAGGCAACAATTAACAAACGTATGAAGTATGCATGCGCTACTTCTTTATTTCTAGTAAATACAAAAAATACGAAACTAGATTTCTGTTATTTTTATAGCTTTACTGGTAGTTTGACGGCAAACTCGTAACTCTAAATCGTGCGTGGCATAAGAAAACCTAGCTCTTATTTTAGTTAGTCCTTACGATTATTGAATTATTATTTATTATATCATAACTTTAATATTTACCTATAATATTTATACCTTTAATATTTATATATTTAATAATACTAAATTATTCATGATTTTACACTGCGCTCTGTATTTATTAATTAATCTCATTAAAACGTATAAACGTTTATTTTATTTGTAAAATAAAAGTAGCGAGTATAGTAAGGAAGAAAAGAAAGTCGTTTTGAAGTTTCATTGCATGATTTTATCGGAAGATTACTGTCCATACGTGATTGGTAGTTTTCTCTAAAGGAGTATTAAAACATGAGAATACACGCGCGTGTGTTCTTGACCGCGACTAGCAACGATCAAAATAAATATTACACTTTAATTAAGAGCATCTCCATTCTAAGATACGGACAGTCCGATCTCCGTTCGTTGTTTTCTTCGTCTCAACCCAGTACACCGTGGAATGGAAGAGAAGAGGGATACTTAAGAAATCAGCGTTACGAAGTAAAGCCAACAGAGCGTGAAGAAGGGTCCTACGACACAGGATGTTCTCCTACCTTCCATGTCGTTCGCACTCTGGGTCCCCCCTACCGTAAAATCGTCTATTCGTGGAAAGATACTGTTCGAAACAATGCTATGAACCTGTGCGGTACGTGCAAACCCCGAGGTCTCAGACGTTGCAAGCGACACAATACGTTCGAAAATCGGATAGATTTTCTTCCCTCGTCTGTAAACAATTGCTGTCAGCGTGTTTAAGGCAGCAGAAATGTTTATTCGATCTCACCTGGCTCGTTCACTGACGTAATTCAACGGTTATGAATCGAAACGGCTGGAATTATTGTAATTTCATGTATAACAAGGCATTGAATTATAATATCAACGTTCGGTACTGTTCTTTCCCTACCGATAAGAATCATCTAATTAACAGTTTGAACGTGGATGCGACAATTACCGAGACGCTCCGAATCCCGACACAATGTGTCATTAAAGTTAGCTGCCGACTTTTATTCGTCCGAGAGCTGTTACCTGCGGGTCGTAACGGTATCGTCCAAATTAGGCGACAGTTGCTCGGTGTATACACTCTCTAACAACGCGCTTTTTGTTAATCGACCGCTTCTCTTCACTGCGAAGCGTGACTCTACGCGGACACGGTTTGCTGGGTGCCCATTACCGGAAACAGTAAATCGTTTCCTCCTAAATTACGAAGGCGAGAAACCGCCGCCGCCGCCGCCGCCGCCGCCACCATCGATCCCGAGCCGCAGATTACCATTCGAAAGAATTCGCTAACAAGCTGTAGCTTTTCCGCTTATGCGACCACCGAATTACATCGGAATCGGTGCACATCCTTGTCTTCAATCACGGCGGACTGACGCCAGAATTTATTTCACTCGTCCCGATGAACAGGAGCGATACCGAGTTATGCAATTTGTATATTTATGAGTCGGAGCTGTAATTGGAAAAATCGTGCTTCACGTCGAAGCTGAGATGTCTGCTCGCGAGCCACTTGATCCTATCGCTAGTTTCATGCTACGCAGCTGAAGAAAGAGGATGTTCTGACTAAATCGTTGCCGAGAACACTGTTTTCTGCGCGGAAAGCGCGCACGGCGTGCCGCGCGCCGTGACAAAACCATGTTCGAGGCACGAGCTATCGCGAGCTGGTTCGGTACCCCCGAGTGGTTACGCAGGCACTTGAAAAGACATAGGAAAGCAGCGAGGAAGAGAGGAAAAAAACGGCAACGGGATAGAGAAGGATCGTGGATGAAGGTGCACGCAACGCAGAGACTTTGAGGGGAACAATGAATCGCGGTGGTGGCGGCGTTTATAGGGCCGTATCGGTCGACGGGGGGGTGAGTTGAGCTGGTAATTAGTCATAGTGCGATGCGCTAACAGCGGCACTCTGCAAGAGTGAGCCTGAGCTTCGCTCGTTCGTTCTTTCTTTCGTACACCTACCGTCGCAACTCCGGGTCTTAACAACGGAAGCTTGGCTAAATCATCTACTGGGTGACTGGGAAATATAAGAAATGTCTTCTCAAACCGTCTCCGATGCGTTTGACATTTAGAGATCCATAGGGATAGGATCAAGTACCTCGGAAACGGATTCGAACTTTAATTGATTGAATTTGAATCTCGATAAGTTTTAGTTTAAGAATACTTTTGAAGTATAATTATTAGAACATTATTGTTTTTTAGTACTAATCTAAACCCATTAAATGAAACTTGGTTATTGAAATTGACTCGGATTCGTGAGTACGTATTGAACTTGATCTCATCTCCAGCGATCGGCTTGGGCTTGAAATAAGTAGGATCGTCGGAGAACAAATCTTTTCATAGTACTTCGACGATTCTGTAGATGTAGTATTAAAGACCGATCATCCCGTTTGAATTACATGAACTGTTCGTCTGTGTATCTAAAATGATTCGAGCAGCAGGAATACTATTTTACGACACGACGACAGATGGTGGCAGGAAAATGTTGCAGCAAGATGAAAAGAGTCACGGTACACGTATAACGGGCAGCGACAGTTGCATCTGCCGCGAACGGTGATTTGATTTATGCCCATCGTAGCTAACGGATTGCTAGAAATTTCGTAATTGTTTATGAAGCTCTTGAATTCCCATCTTCTCCGGCGTTTTATAACAAGTTCAAGTTGTAACAAATCGATTAACCGCGTGTCTTTTAAAACAGTTTTATCGTCAATCCGTGTTCTACATTTCAATGCTATCGCCGGCTACTCGTTTCAAGGGTACCCCTTAGCAAGTACACCTGTAGCACGGAAGGCTTCACTCCGCTTTGGTCATGTCCGCGAAGGGTAGCAGACGGTGGTGTGCATGCTCCGGTGTAGAATCTGAAAAAGGGAAGGTGGTAATCGCGAGGGAAGAAAGGTTCAAGTCCCAGGCCTATGGGACGGGAGAAAAGAAGAGGCGAAAAGCGGCAGAGCGAAGCCACAGGCGGCCAGCCGTGTCTCCGGCGAACTCGGTCGACAGTTCTCTTGCCAATCCTGGCATTTCCACTTCTATGTGTGTTTATGCACCTCCAACGTGCCCGTTCGTCGTACCCATCGACCATGGGCTCCACTTACGTCGGCCGCACATCACACGCGATGTGTGTTCTACCGGCGAACAAACGACGACGGTGCGCTGACCTTTTCCTCGTTGGATAGAAAGCACGCGCGGAAAAATTGCTCTTACTTCCCGCCTTCTATGCTTGATGCACTGGAAATTCACCAAAGCGAAGCTTCGCGTCGAAGTAAAGGAAACATTAATTCAAAGGTTGGAGAAAAACATTACATTCTACTTCTCGTTCATTATTCTGTAATGTTCTTGTCGAACAATATTTATTGCTAATATCAATCATAGAATAATTCATGAAAGAGTGATTGTATATTATTATTTGAACGAGGGTTGTTACAGCTCATCAGTCGAATCCGATGGATCGAAAATTGATTCACTGACGCTAACAATTGTGAATGAGAACGGACAGCGTGTCAAATAAAGCGAGTTCTTTTCCGCCCTTCGTCTCTCTGTCTCATTTCGCAGCTGCAGGCTTCACCTGCGAAACGGTCCGCTGCTTGTAAGCATCGCCGCTGCAGGTCTTACCTGTTGAAGCGAGTCAAACAGTGCGTCTTGCCGTCCAACACCTGTTACGAAGAACCACCGCTCCGAAGTTTTCCTTCGGCTACCACGAATGTTGACGAGTCGACTGAATGTATCATAATCATCGGGATGTCGTAACGCTAACTATATTAACTATGGTTAAAAGCATGCCGAAGACACTTGCACAAACTATTTTCATGCTGGAGAAACGTGCCCAGTAGAAATATCGTTTCACGCACTGTATTCGACTAGAGATTTTGCAAACATTTTTGTACACTCGTATGCAAATTCGAGATCGGTGAATATACGCGCGGACTCGATGGTATATTCGTCCAGCGATTTCAGGAGTACGATCGTTGGGTCAGGGTCGAGAACCGGCACGATAGTCGACTTCCGTCAGCCCGTACGGTCGACAAAGAGGAATTTGTAATGCGGCGGAAATGTTATTCCCAGAGGGGTAAGCTGTAAACGTGGCCGTCACGTACCTACGTGGCCGCTTCTATACAAAGAAAAAAAATATTCCTTGACAAGCATAATGTACCGACGGATTCGTTCGTTTCGTTCGGATAGAACGGGCCCGGTTACAAGGCACACACGTCGCGTCGTCGTCGTCGTCGTCGCGCGTCGTTTAGAATTCAGAACGTATCGCTTTAAGGTCATAAAGAAATTACGGCCATCCAAGGCTGAACTGGTCGCCACCGAACCAAGAAGAAAAAGGAACCGGAGGGATTCACGGTGAGAACCGATATTATTTACAGATATATGACACGCACAATCTCGTCGAGGCCTAAATTAGAACGGCGTGGAGCGGCGCGGCGGCGCGCGCGGTATGTACCTGGAAATGCACTCGTTGTTGGGCATTCTTCTTCAACGCGTTACACTCAATCAGGCCAGAAGACGTGGCTGGGTGTCAAGGATTCTTATCTGACACCGTTAAGAGACGCAACAGGGAAACGGTGGATCGCACAGTTTCAACGAAAATGAGAATGCCCGGTCCGTTTTCGGGGCCGGAGTGCGCTCGGAGTATCAGATGAAAGATAGTCGTTAGATAAGGTGCCCGTCAGAGGGGCTGGAAAACCAGTTTTTCGTACGTAATGATTATACGCCGACGAATCGGACGACGTTCGCTCGCAAAGATAACTCACGTTGCCCGTACCGCCGGCCTTCTTACTCTCTCATCTGGACCGCATTGTTTCTCGGATGAAAATCGAGGTCGAACGTTAGGGCAGATAAAATAATCATGAAGTTTTGCTGTACAGCTTCGAGAGAGGAACGACAGAGGCAACCCTTTTCTCTCCTTCTGATCGAATTCGTTTAAAGCCGGTAGGAAGGACGCGTCTCGTGTTGCA